CTCTAATTGCCACTGGTCTCTCAACATAGTTCAGGCCCACATCCACCTGAATATCCTCTAATGGTACCACTGCCGACTTGTCGGCTATACACTTTCTCAACTGCGACACGTGGAAAGTGTCGTGAATCTGACCTAACTCTGCAGGTAGCTCCAAATGGTAGGCTACCCTGCCTGCTTTCACGATCACCCTGAAAGGTCTAATATATCGAGGCCCCAACTTGCCCCTCTTCCTGAATCGGATCACCCCTTTCCAAGGAGAGACCTTCAGGAGCATGAAGTCGCCGACCTGAAACTCGAGCTTGGATCGGCGCTTGTCCGCATAACTCTTCTTACGACTCCGAGCGGTCAACAACCTCTGTCTGACCTACTGTATCTGCTCAGTTGTCTGAATCACGATCTCTGTACTACCCATCACACATTGGCCTACCTCTCCCCAGCAAATGGGGATCTGACACTTCCTCCCATACAACAGCTCAAAGGGTGGCATACCAATGGTCGAATGATGGTTGTTGTTGTAGGAAAACTATGCCAAGGGTAAATATGTGTCCCAACTCCCACCAAAATCCAACACACATGCTCAAAGCATGTCCTCAAGCATCTGAATTGTCCGCTCGCTCTTCCTGTCAGTCTGTGGGTGATATACGGTACTAAAATTCAACCTCGTACCCAAATCCTCATGAAATTTCTTCCAGAATTTGGAAGTGAGACGCACATCTCGATCTGAGACAATCGAGATCGGTACTCCGTGCCGCGATACCACCTCTCTTACATACAACTCTGCCAGCCTCTCCGCAGAACAGCTCTCACTAATAGTAAGGAAGTGAGCGCTCTTCGTCCACCTGTCTACAATCACCCAAATTGCATCAACGCCCCTCGCATTCCTCGGCACTCTGGTGATAAAATCCATAGTAATCTTCTCCCACTTCCACTCAGGAACCTCTAACAGCTGCAACATACCATGTTGTCTCTGGTGCTCGGCCTTAACCCTACGACAGGTTAGGCACCTCTCAACGAACCACACGACGTCACTCTTCATACAGGGCCACCGATACTCCTTCTTTAGGTCCAAATACATCTTAGTGGCCCCGGGATGGATCGAGAACTTCGATCGTTGTGCCTCTTCCATCAAAATGGTACGCGTCCCGCCCACAAACGGTACCCAAATCCGACCCTGAAATGTCATAAGCCCCCGGCTATCGGTAACGAACTCCGATACTTGCCCAATAACTCGCGATCCAACATCGGCCTACATACTCTGTTCATGAGATCCATGAACACCACCGACGCATTGATGAGCCCGAAAGGCATCATCACGAACTCGTAATGCCCATAACGAGTCCTGAATGGTGTTTTCTGTATGTCCTCATCTCGCACCCTCACCTGATGATATCCCGACCTCAAATCGATCTTGGAGAACCAAGATGCTCCCTGTAACTAATCAAACAAATCGTCGATCCTCGGTAATGGGTAACGGTTCTTAACCGTCAGCTTGTTCAATTCCCTATAATCAATGCACATCCGGTGTGAGCCATCCTTTTTTTTAACAAAAAGGATAGGCGCTCCCCATGGCGAACTGCTCGGCCGAATAAACCCATTCCGTAGCAGCTCCTGAAGCTACGAGGATAACTCCTGCATCTCTGGAGGCGCAAGGCGATAAGGTGCATTGGCGATAGGTGCAGCCCCCGAAACCAAATCGATGCTGAACTCAACCTGCCTCTCGGGAGGCACACTCGATAACTCTTCCGGAAATACATCCGGGAACTCACGCACTATCGAAACCTCATCTACTGACCTCGGTCTCTCTGAATCAACCCTCGTATCCATCACATATGATACAAACCCTTTACAGCCCTGCTGTAGACTCTGCCTCGCTCTAGCGGTTGAACAAAATGCCGACCCAGAACGCGTACCCTCTCCGTACACGGTAAGAACTCCCCCACTAGGGTCTCGTATGGTCACCAACTGTCTCTCGCAGTCAATAACCGCTCCAAACTTGCTCAACCAGTCCATGCCCACGATGACATGGAAATCTCCTATCGTAATAGGAACTAGATCAATCGGAAACTCAACGCTGAAAATCTCGAGTACACACCCTCGGATGACCTCGGTGGCATACAATGCTCACTCGTCAGCTATGGAAACTCTCAAAGGTTGACTCAACGCCTCTCGACTAATACTAATGTGTTGACTAAAAGCCAAAGATACAAAGGACCGACTCGCACCCGAGTCAAATAACACCGAGGCAGGTACATAATTCACAAGAAAAGTACCTACACATATCATAATATAAGCACAATATCTGAACATAAAAGTAAATATATGAAAGAATACATACCAGCCACGACATCGGGCGCTGGACGGACCTCCTCCGCAGTCAACTGGAAGGCTCTCCCTCGCGCCTTCGGTACCTCGGTCTTCACTAGCCGACTCTCAGTAGCTCTGATAGCAGCAGGGGCAGATCCCTGAGGTACTCCCTGGGTAGTCCCTCGTAAATGTGGACACTATGCTTTGCGGTGTCTGGTCTGGTTACAGTGACATCATACTACAAACCCCTTGGGGAAATCCTTGGCTATATGCCCCTCCTTGCCACATTTGTAGCAAGACCCCGCTCTGCACATCCCCTCGTGGCTCTTGCCGCACTTGCCACAAGTGCAACCCTTCTAACTCCCAGATCGCAAATCAGCGGGCTTGGCCCGCTTGGCTGCCGGCTGAGACTGTGCCTGTCGCCGATCCCTCGCCTGAGACTCAGCCTCCTCCTTAGCCTGGGTCTCCAGCTCTGTCTCCCTCTTCCGGTCATTTGCCTGAAGCTCAGCAAATGTCCGATACGTCGATTTCGCCACGAACTCCCGTATATCCCTCCTCAAAATACACAGATAGCGGCTCATACGTGCCTTCTTGGAGGACATGTGCTCTGGGCAAAACATCGCCCGCTCTTGGAACTTCCTCGTAATCACTGTGACAGAATCAGTACCCTACTTGAGGGTCAAAAACTCCTGTGCCAAACGCTCCCTCTCCACCTGGGGAATGTACTCATCTCGGAACATAGCAATGAACCTCTCCCAAGTCACTGCAGGAAGCTCAGCAGGCGAATAATGCACTGTCACAAACTTCCACCAGTCCTTCGCTCCCAAGCAAAGCTGGTTCAGCGCGAACTGGACTATCAAATGCTCAGGAGATGAGCAAGTAAAGAAACATCCCTCTATGTATGATATCCACCTCATCGTTGCAATCAGGTCCTCGGTCCCATCAAACTCCGGTGGTTTTGTGTTGCTGAACTCCCGAAATAGCAACGCATCACCACCCTCCAGTCTAGCCGTAGCTACAGCTGCAGTGGCCGCAGCAATAGCAGCATCAGAAAGAGCAGCGTATCTCTCATCAAATGACTCTATCAGGGTGGTCTTGATAGACCCGAACATCTCTGGAATCTCATCGCAGATGGCAGCATCCACCTCATCATGAATCATCTGGCGGAGCTCCTCGTCGCTCACACCCCCTCCACTGGTCCTTAGTCTGTGGCGTGTCCCTACCATGATGTCTCTCTGAAATACAACATAAGCTATCAGTAATTTGATCGGATGTACACATACTCGATATCCCAACCCTACTTGATCTCTGGTACCCTAAGGATTATTACTTGGGTTGCGCACTGACCCGGTGCTTTCGGTAGTACGGGCCCAATACTACCGACCACACCGACTCAGCATTCACACCAAGTCCTCCTCCCAAAGTCCCAAATCCCAAGTGCGCTATTTTCTCTAATCATGTGCTACTCACTAGCAGATCTCTCATAAGCTCCTTGCTGCTATCTAAACACTCTCAAGCATCCCTATTAGCAAAACCCCTAGACTAAGGCATCATATATCAGGCCACTATAGTCCTAATAAGAATACCTAGTCTTACTCTAGCATGCATAATATAATTCATCATATAACATAGCATAACGTTTTCTTTTAAAACTTATTGTAAGGGTATTTTGGGAAATCACCGTTCGGGCGCTGGCTGATCGTACACACGGCTCCGCTCTGTTTGTCTCCAAACTCTGTTTACTCTTTTTAAAAAAATTTACTTTATTATCAAATTTTTCCTCAAATCCTCAGTTTGAGTTCAGATACGCCCGAAGATGCATCCGAATCCCTCAAACCAAGGCTCTAATACCAAATTGAAACACCGTAAAATTTAAAACAAATTTTCGCATTTTAAAACACATTTTTCTAAACACATTTATTAATAAAATCCCAGGGTATCATAACTTTGTTTCACAAAATATTTCCCAAGATCAAAATACATAAAAACCCATGCGTATGTACGAATCATGCCGGCGCCTTCCCGCGATCATCACTGGTACCTGACACACATAACACATAACACTGTAAGCATAAAGCTTAATGAGTTCCCCAAAATACCATACATAACACATACTATCCACTCGAGGCTATAACTCTGTGGGTCTGTGGGCCCTAACTCTGTGAACCCTCTGGTCCTAGCTCTATGAACCTTCCGGTTCTAACTCTGATATACTCTGATATACACATGAAATAAATGACATAGAAATAATGCAGTGCAACACATCACATAATAGCATACAGTAACTCTATCACATGACTCTAATCACCACTCAAGGTAAAGTATAGTGAGAAGACTCACCTCAGATGTCTCGGTAGAAATACGATCTAGCCTTCACTTAATCACATAAAGTAATACTCTTATAAATATAACTCTCAGGACTAGACTCAACCCTCTCTAGGCAACCCTCAGAAGGGTAAAAGACCATTTTACCCCTCCTTTGGCTCAAAGGCCCTCATTGTTGACCAAACCCTAAAAGTCAACCAAAGTCAACGGTCAAACCACTACTAGAATAAAGATGACACACATTTTTGCGTATCGTAATTTTCTTTTATTTAAAAAAAATATTTATAGATTTACTAATTTTCAAATTAAATTTGCATTTCATGTCTCATAATAGAAAATAAATTAACATATACAAAAAATACAATACATTGCACAAAAGTTAATGTCATACAAAAATAGATTACATTGTAATACATTGATATTAAAGGGATCTAATTGTACATTGCTAATAAGAGGTTTTACCTAACTATATAACCTATTTGTACAACCAAGTCGAAATGAAAGTATCCACGGCCTTCTTCCAGCTGTGTTAGATTCTGGAAGAATTAACCTATATATTAATATAAAAAAATAACATTAACATATAACAATAAATAATAATAATAGCCATAAGATAAGTAAGTAGCCTTACCCTATTGGTTGTCTTCCTCATTAAGTTGCACCTCACGTGCCTCCTCTTTTGATGTCATATGTTATTAGAAGCTACAGACTCTGCAATATAAACACCTTGCTCAGTGGATAACATCCCTTCAGGGATACATAAAATCTGCATGAAATACTGAAAATCAAATAATAAGGAAAGTTTTTATTTATGAAGTAATTGGCTGATTTATAAAGCAATAGAAGACTTGGAAGTCCATGACAGAATTGTATTCTTTTGTGGTCCTAGGCTAATTTTCTTTTTCTCTTGATCAAAATAACATGTTTATGCCCAAGTCAATTATAGAATTGTATTCCTTAGTATCATGTGGACACAACATTTTACTGAATGTGAATTGAATATGACAAACAAGCATTTATATTCTCATGAAATCAAAGATAATTTATAATATTTTTCTAAATAATTAACAAACTTGATGTGTCAAGACCCATAAGGATAATTTCTGCAACATTATATTCAAAATTTCATCTTAACTTTTTTTTTTTTAATGTAACCTGTCAAATGCACTATGGTTGTGTTAGACATGATAATTTTGACACATGTACTTAGAAATGTCTTTGGATTTTATTTTCGAAGATTCTTACTTCCATCTGATTTGGCCTTGCCATCGCATGGTATTTTCAATATTTTCTTATTAAAGCAGGAGGTGTATGTGATGAGTCATTAAAACTGAAAGAAGATAGTTAAAGAATGTATTTATGAATTATAATGAAATGCAAATTTAGGGACGATAATGAAAATATTTCAAAAATAGGATTGAAACTAAAATATTTTGTAAACCACAGCGACTATTACTGTAACACATTTGCATTTTTTTTATAAACTTGATCTTATTTAGTGCTGCACATTTGTGCTAAATTGTTAATGCATGAGACTTTTTTGTGCGTTCACATTTTAGTTCTTCATTCAGTTTTAACTCTTTAATTTAAAGCTCTGCATCAGTTAAAAAGATGTTAGGTTGTGGTTTAATCAGAAATCTCTGTCCTCTGAGACACTCCACATCAGCTATAAATATTGCTCCTGATCAGTTTGGTGAATTCATCCTTTCATGAAATAAAAAGCAAAGTTTTCCTCTCTGTTTTTACCCTTCTTAGAATATCTCATATCTAACAGATGAACAAACAAAAAGAAAGATGATTCTAACAAACCCTACTTTTATCACAACATTAAACCAAAATCGACCAAAAACTCACATAAACAATCAAATCAAATATAAACACAGGCCTGATTTCGTATTCAAACAGATTAAGAAAGGCAACAAACACTGTTTGTGACTTAGAAACTAATAGCTTAATCCTCAATTCATATTAGCATAGTAACAAATGTGCAGTTATATCGTTTTTTCCTTTTGAACATTCACTTTCCAACAGATGCTAAAAAAGCTGATACATTCTTAATGGGTGTAACCTAAACAAAACTGTCACCATACACAACAGATGCTGAAAAAATTGAATAATTTATCTTTTGCAGCAGCTGGATCATACAAAGCTAGACACACTTTTATATGTTTCAAACATAAACTTATTGTGTAATGAGGATCCAAATGGAATAATTCAGCCACCCCATACTCCTTTTTTCTATCTCGCCTCTATAACTTATTTCACCGTTCAAGAGAAGGGTATAAGGGGTTTCATAGACATTATGAATTAATTTATCTTTTATTCTACTTCCCTTATTTGAAACAAGCTCATCATAAAACGTTCAACATTTCAACATATTATACAACCTAATGCATTAAAATTCAAGTGATGTAAAACAATAAAAGTTGCTTTGAAAGTTCATAAATAAAAAAATTACCTTTTCAAATTCTGCATAAACTTCTGCAGGAGCTATGGTCATCAAAGTTGACAAAGCAAGCACTGCAGCTTCTTGTTCCAAATGACTAGTACTCATCAACCCCATTGGTCCAGGCAAACCCTACATATTATACCACAACCAAGGGTTAATAATAATTAATAAAATATAAAAGATAAGATAAAAAGTAATCAATAAAAAAATATCAACACCCGGAATCAATGATTCCATAGGTAAAACAAACTTACATCGGAATTAGAACGCTGCAAAGGGCTTCTGGAATCAGCTCTACCATGGGAATAGGGTGATGATGCTGATGCTTTCTCATTTCCTCCTCCTTCAGGGCTTCTGCTTCTAGAAGGTGACCTACTCCTACGTGGAGGAGACCTACTTCTGTGTAATCCATCAGTTTATTGACACATCACATGATAAGGGCATTCTAGTATTTTCAACACTAGTACTTCTATGTAAGTAACAAACACATATAGAATAGTGAATAGTCCATCAGGTTCCTAACGAAACATCAAGTTTAAACAGAAAACAAAACTTTTTACGGATGCTATTTTCAATGATAAGGGCATTTACGTCTTTTTACCTTACAAGAGACCTACTTGGGCTTCTCTCATCATCATAATCATCATCATATCTACCCCTCCTGTGTCTTCTATGATAATCAGGGCTCCTACTCCTACTGCATGAGGGCCCTACTTCTGTAATGATCTCTGTCCCTTCCATAATACCTGTCCCTGCTACTGTTGCGACTTATCCTCCTGTGACCCTTGTATTCATCTCTATACCTGGAACTACATTGGGTAAAAATCAACTCCAATACAAGGGTAGAATGGTCAAAACTACATTATCATCATACCTTGGTTTCGGCTCCTTGATCCACCCTTCAGGTTTTCTACTGGTTTAAGTATCCTTCCCTTGTGACTAAAACAAGAATAACAAAAACCACATTAGCCAAACAACCATATAGTTTTTCATATCTGATTTTTGGAATTTAGAAATATATTAGATTATATGTGAATGTGACTCACAATTTTTCAGCATTAGGCCCATATTTGGCAAATTAAACCATCATTTCTCTTCCATTAACAACTCTTCCTGAAAGGATTGCTATAAGTGCAATTATTTCAATCCATAAAAGGAAATACATTACAAGAAAATGAAAGATCAAATACTCACCATTGATTTCAAGTGTTGTGTGTATGGAGTAGTTAATAATGCAGAGTATCTACAATTAATAATGATACATGATAAGTTAGAATATTTCTAATTTACTATGAAACTCTTTGCATTAGACAAATTCCTAAACTTCATATTATATTATTATATCAATTCCTAGAAGTTTTACTTTTTTTAATACGAATATTGAATAATTCTTGGAGAGAAGAAGAAGAAAGAAACCTCGATTCTAAAAATGGTGAGAGACCCTGTTTTGATCAAACTCTTTCTTCCTGAACTAACTACCGATTGAACCATGCACACCATTGATTCCCATTAATTTCTATTCAACGAATCTCCAACGAACATAAGCCTCTTGTTCTTCAATTTCTCCACCAACAATTTACCTCTAAACCTTCATTTCATTTCCCTAAAACACACAATTAAAATCACCAAGAATTCAACAATTAATTTGATTTTAAAAAGTGGGAGAACAGAGTATGCTTACTTTGGCAAATTACAGTCTTTAGGCTGCCACCTCCACTTCTGATGCATAGAATCTTTTCTCCCATTTTTCATACATGTAACCTGTTCTGTGAGAAATTCACATTCGTCTTCTTTATAAAAAGGGTGTGTTGAATCGTCAAAAACCCATTTCCCATCGAAATAGCTGGACTGTTGCTCATTCTGAAGTGGGTTTTCATGGGGATTGAGTTTCTGAAACTGGAGTGTAGAAGAAGCCAAAAACCAGATTCGTGTTCTGTGGGTTTGAAAGGAGACGCTGAATGAAATGTGAAATAGCTGGACTTTGCATAAGCTGACTCATTGCAATGGGAATAGGGGTAAAACCTAACATTCGTTCTAGATGTTTCCTTAATTCGATATCACTTCACCTCGAGGTCCTCATCTTCCTGATTTGATTTGGGAGACATGTATTCAACAAGAGCTGACGAAGAATTAGTCAAATGGGAAGTAGGAAGAGCGGATATCCTAGTTCTTCCTGAAGACGCTGATATAAAAGCCCTAGTTCTTGGGTCTGCCCTTGTGAGGTCAGGAGTATAAAAGCCCTAGTTGTTCCTTGATATCGGGGACAAAAAACCTTAAAATCACAGGTGTTGTGTGTGTGAGGAGTCGTAGATCTTCAATCGTCGGCTCTATGAAAGATTTTGTGAGGTCTAATTTTTGGGTAAGGCGGGGTTGGGAATCGGTAATTTGATGTTACAAAAGGGATATAGCGGTGTTGGTGCTGAAGGGTCGCATGAAAATGGAGGAGAGGGTGACTTCGCCGAGACAATGATCGTTATCATCGTCGTTGCGAGGCATTTGATCACAAAATCAAGAGCAATTCTGGTATTAAGAGAAGGCCTAGGGATTTTTCTTGCTAATTGGAAGAGGCGGGGGGTTTAATTTTTGGGATTCGATAGGCGGGTGAAATCCCGCCTTAAAAACGTGTGTTTGATTAGAATGTTATAAAGCGACACATTTAGACGGTGCACATTTTATGAAAGGCGCCCTCTGCGTTCCCTTTTTTTTCTTTTTTGACACTATTTTTAGGGCGCGCACAAAGGCGTGTTCTTTATCCTTCAAATTTTGCAAAACTGACATTATTTATTAGGGCATGAACAAATGCGCGTCCTCTATCAGCGAGTGTCACTGTTTGCGCGTCATTAAAGGGCTGTTTTCTAGTAGTGAACTTTGACCTGACTCATCGAGTGCACTTGGGCAACTCGGCGAGTCCACATGTGTCCACTAACTCCCTATTCTCGCCTAGCATGTCGAGTCCCTCCCCTTGCTCGACGAGTCACACCTGACATGAATCGTGGGGCCACCCCGACTCTAATCGCCGAGTCTCAAGATCAACTCGGCGAGTTCCGTGTTGAACTCCAGTCCTCTAATCCCTCCCTGACTCATTGAGTTATTCCCCCAACTCGGTGAGTCTACTCGCTGAGTGATTTACGGGAAACCCTAACCCTACTCGCCGAGTCTGATCTTTGGACTCGGTGAGTTCATGCCATGAAAAAACTCTATTGACCTCCTGAGGTCAGATCTGTTCCATAAACCCATAGATCCGACCTTCCCAAGCATGATAATCACGTAAAGTTCAGACCTTGACACTCATACATCATCTAAATGGTCCTACTTGGTGATTTAGCCCCAAAAATAAACTCCTAAGCTCATGGCTCCTAAAATAACCCATAAAGCTCCAAGGGTTAAGGTCTTTGGACCTCTTGAGTCCTGATCCAAAGCATAAACTCGAGAAGGGTCCAATTGCTCCACATATCCATTCTCTAAAGGGGTTAGAAAACCCTAACTCTAAGAATCAACACCAAAAATGCAGAAGGTCTGAATAAATACCTCAAGATGAAGTCTCTGAACTCTGAAATCACCAGATCTGCTCCTCCTTCAGCCTCCTCTAGCCTTGGTCACCTTCTCTTTGCAATCACACCAACAAAATGATCAAAAGTGGTCTCTCCTCCCTCACAAACGCTCTAGATCTCTTAGGGTCTCTCTTTGGGGTTTGGTAGCCGCAAATGACGGCCCTAAGGGCCTTTAAATAGGTGCCAAACCGGGGAAATTAGGGTGTCATTAAACAGCGTGGACTCGCCGAGTCCAGTCATAAACCCAGATGAGAATCCGCGACCCTACTCGGCGAGTCTAAGCACCAACTCGCCGAGTCCCTCTACAAACTCCAAAATAAATGAATAAAATAATATACCTGGGAATCCGGATGTTACAATCAACATAGGAATACCGTTCATAAGGAACGACCCTAAACAACAATACAAACACATAAGCATGATAAGTAACATAAATAAAAGATAGAGAGAAGATACATACTCATGGCCACATTAGGTGTTGCACGAGCCTCCTCGACTGTCAACTGAAATCCATGCTCCGGACTACTGGCGCCTCAACCTTGCCTTGGTGGCCATTAATGACCATCAAGGTCGTCAGAACAGGCGATGTTACTAGTCCTGCTACTGCTAAACACGAGCAGTTGGCCTTCTTATGGCCTCTCTAATTGCAATGGAAGCAAATCAGATTAGATCCCTGGTGGTAATGGTGGTGATATATTCCCTGCCAAAGTGCTATGTCTTACCGCACTTGTAGCAGCCCGAACCACCCACTCTGCATACTCCATCATGTTCCCTGAAGCACATGCCACAACGGCTTCGACCCTGCTGGCCCTTTGATCTAGAATCGAAGCCCTTGGATTTCTTCACTAAAACCCTTGTTATCTGCCCGTGCTCTGCCGTCCTCTTAACTATATACTCCAAATCAATCTCCCGTTCTCGAGCCCTGGATATCATGTCATCCAAAGTCGAATAGGCGGAAAAACTAAAAAACTCCCTGATGTCGGATATCAACATGTCATGGTATCGGGTCTTCCTTATCTCCTCATCTACAACATACTGGGGTTGAACATAATTTTCTCTCGGAACTTAACGGAGATCTCTACCATGGTCTCAGTTATCTGTCGGATATCTAGGAACTCCCTCGACAACTGTTGCAAGAGCTGGTGTAAACACCACTTGGAACCGGGTCACGAAATCCGCCCATGTCATGGCCTCAATGGATGGGGCTCCCAGAGTATATCTTGTTGGATTAGTGTCTAAGTCCATAACTATTTTGGTATGTACTTGACCCGATTATGAGCATGGTCCTTATGGGTTACCTTCACCATAGCAATATGTAAGATGAATTAAGCAGAGAAAGGATTAATTATGATTTATTAATATATTAAAAGAATAATATATTAAAGGAAAAATCATAATGTTTAATTAATATTCGTCAAGAATTAATTAAGAATTAATTTTGTGGCTAAAAGAGATTAATTAAATTTAGGGGACTGGAATTGTAATTATAAGATAATTGCAATCGGGCTATGGATCTGTAACATCCGAAAAATACAACCAATTTAAATTTTTCAAAACAACCTGATTTTCATTAAAATGTTTACAAAAAGGTTTTCAATACAAGTCATTAGAGTATTCCCAGAATCACATTGCTACAAAATCATGAGGAGCGGTACGATCGCGCCTTCGCCTTGCCACGGTCTCCTGAAGAACCTGAAAAACATTAAACCACAACTGTAAGCCCGAAAGCTTAGTGAGATACCCCCAAAATACCAACCACGTATACGCCCTTCCAGGCTACGACCTTCCGGTCCAAAACATATAAAACATACATAACATAACAGAACATAGAACAACCATGCATATCGGGTCTACCGTGTGACTGGTCCGCCGTATCGGGCCTTCAGTCCAACGGATCCATCCTCCGGGTCTAGTCATGTCCTTCGAGTCTACAGTGGGGTTGGTCCGCCCGCATCGGGCCTTCAACCCACCTGGTCCACTCTCTGAGTCTACAGTGTGACTGGTCCGCCCGCATCGGGCCTTCAGTCGGCCTGGTCCACTCTCCGAGCCTCGGCACGTCTGGTCCGCCCTCGTGGGGCCTACAGCCTATCCGGACCACTCGCTGGGCCTTCGGAACAACCGGTCCGCCCTGGGTATCTTGGCCTACAGCACAAAGCAGGACCCGCCTCAACCCATCTCCAGTCCAAACAACCATGTGCACAAAACATACATTCATATAACAGTCATAGTCAACAAACCGAGCAAGCAGATCACATAGCATATCATTACCCTAACCGGGTTACCGACCTAACCGGTCACTAGCATAGCATCACTCTGTATATCGGGAAAACTGACCTTAACAAGGCCTCCTAGCATGTACCATCCTAGCTACCAGGATGCAGACACATCAAATAATAGCATAACAACCATAACCGAATCTCAATACAATAAAGGGCCGGCCTTGGTGCCTTAGACCCTGTTGATATAGTGAGGATAACTCACCTCGAAACTGCCGGCTGAAAAGATAAGATCCCGCTGCTCCGAACTCTGGCACGAACTCCTCCACTAAACATCAAAACATACAACTCAATAAATACCCTTAATTACCAAAATACCCCTGGAAGACAACTGGTCAACCTTGGACGAGCCAAAGTCAACCCCTGACTGACCCTACTCGTCGAGTCATCCCGATGACTCGCCGAGTCCTTATGCTCAGAACTTCCCTCAATTAGCGACCCAACTCGCCGAGTCACCCCAAGACTCGTCGAGTCCAACAACTCTGAGTCCACTCTCACCCAACTCACCGAGTCATCCCTTGACTCACCGATTCATCGACTCAACCAGAAACATTGGGACTTCCTCGACAAGACTCGCCGAGTCCAAATGGACTCGTCGAGTCCAAGGCCATCTTCAACCTACTCGCCGAGTTGTTCTTCCAACTCGTCGAGTCCCAGGCCATCTTCAAGCAACTCGTCGAGTCCACCCATGTGACTCGTCGAGTACCACCGTTCTGAATCCATACAGAAGCATCTCAGGCCATGCAATTGATCCAAAACATAGATCCAACCTCCTACAATCCATCCATCACGTAAAGTGGCAAACTTTACGTGAATCTAACGAGATCTAAGCCATATTCACCTTAAAACCAAGGTTTGGGACATGGTGGCTTCACTAAGCACTCAACCACAGGAACTTTAATGCACTCTAGGCCTTCAATATTCCAGATCTGAGGTAGCAACCTCAGATCTATCCTCCAAACTCCAAAACATTCCAAGACATACTCCCCACAAACCCCAAAATGATGAAACTAGGAATGCACAGCCTAAGGACGAAGATATTACCTCCAAAAGATGCCTCAATAGCAGCCAAACTCGAATCCAAGCAAAGCCCTTTGATCCAAGCCACTTTTTCCTTCAAGATCTCTTCAAACAACACCTCTCCAAGCTCTAATTTGCTCCACAGATGATCTCTCCACGAATTTAGGGTTTCTGGAACTCAAGGGGGGGAATAAGGGAGGCTGTGGAGGAGTATAATGCTCTTTATATAGGGC